GAGAGAGAAAAAGAGAGAGAGAGAGAGAGAGAGAGAGAGAGAGGCGGCGTCATCTTCCGTGAACAAGACAGGAGAGCGGGTCAAGGAGAGAGGGTGGCTCCGGGACAGAGGAGGTCTGGGGAGGGGACTGGGCTGGGTGGGTTTCATGGCAGAGGAGGGGCTGCCGCAACCCCGCCCCAGCCACCCTGCCCCTGGAGAGGGTGGCAAGAGGGCCCCGCGGTTCCTGCCGTGCTCCCCAGGTGGTCAGTCCTTCCCCTGGTGGCTCTGGGGAGGGGTCCCAGCCTCCTCGCGCTCCCCATCGGGCTACTGCTCATTTTAGGCACAGGATCCTGCACACGGGAGGCCCTCAGGATGGATGTGTCAGCAAATGAACCCAGGACTCCTGGCCCCGGGGGCCTGAGTTGAAAGTATAGGAACCAATCCAATGGGAAGGTTTTAAAAAAGTCTCTCTACCCCCCTCGCAAGGCCCTGCTTCCTGCTGCCCTGCCCAGAGCCCGGAGGGTCAGTGCCCACCCCCGGGGGCCCCGCGGAGGAGGCCCGGTCTCCCAAAAGCACCAGAATGCTTTTGCCCTAGCTTCACAGGCCAACAAAGCCCGACGTTCTGAGGGCATCCAGCCTGGCATTTGGGTTTCCTCTAACAGATCTGCGAGGGTGGCAGGGGCCAAGGGTGCCGGCTCCAGGGCCCCCGGGGCAATCTGGAGACCCAAGTTCATCGTGGGGAGAAGCCAGAGAGTCCTCCTCAGCCTCCCCCATCCAGGAGAAGCAGTTTAAGGCCAATCTGTGTGGCCATTCCGACGAGGCGGGAATTGGCCACACACACGCCCGTCTCTGGCAAGGGTGACGGGGACAGTGTAAACCCATCTGAGAAACACGCTTGCCATTCATACAGAGCTAGAGAGATGTTAACGTCCTCTGGCCTGTGATCTTATGTCTGCAAGTTTTCCTAAAGGAACAAGTGAAAAAGTACTCTACTCTCTCTCTCTCAAAGAGGGCGGCAGGCCACAGCGCTAACGAGCAGCCATGCTCCGTCTCTTCCAGAAAATTACAGGCTGACCGTGGTGTCTCCGGGGCCTCGCGCCCACCCTCCTCTCCCACAGAGGCTGGGCACCGCCACTCTGCCCGGGACCCACGCTAGGTGGCGCATGCCTGGTGGCTCCACATTTCAAGGCAGCTTTACTTGGTGCTCCCAACAGGACTCCCCACACCCCCCACCCAGCCCCATCAACCACTTTCCCAACTTCTAGACTCCTGGTCTGCGGGTTGGGGTCTCCATGGAGGCACAGGGGGGTCCAGTGTAATTGCTTCAGATGCTTGTTTAAGATAAATGCAACCACCGGACCCCGGAGGGCGGAAAATAGCCTTAGAGGCTAGATTTTAGGTGGGGTGAAGGACCTGGTCTTCCATCTGCTCTGGGGACACCGGGCAGGGTGGGAGGAGCGAGGCCACCACGTTCCCGCTTGTCACTCGCGGGTCCCCTGGAGTCGATGGTCGTAAAGCTACGGTCAAGCTGCGCGAGGCGGTGCAGGGGTGGCTGCGACTTTTGTCTGGTGCGCTAACTTTAGAACCCAACCCCCGCATAAGGGGCGTCTCAGCTGTCTCCCCGTGTCACAGGAGGGAGCGGCGACTCCAGAGTCAGAGCCTCGGGTGCAGAATCACACAACTCTGGCAGGCCCACAACTCAGACGCCCCAGATGTCAGGACAGGTGTCTTTTCCCCTGAGCCGGCCTCACCCCATGGGGGGAGACACAGATTTCTAGCAGCAACATGGGCCATCGAAGGAGGGTCCTGAAGTCGGGGACTCCCACTTCCTGCCGCAACTCAAATCCGGGAGCTCAGCCAAGCCTTACCCACGCCCTGTACTTGTAGCTCGTCTTCCCCTCGCAGACCCTGTGTCCGCACCTTTGCGAGGCACAGAGCCACCGCCTTGGGGTACCCCTCGGGTAACTGAGGCCTGGAAACGTTCTTTAATGGGGGGAGCAGATTCCCCACCTGCCCTGGGGGCTCCCGAAGGTCAAAGGCACACATCACCGCTCGTGACCTTCTCTGAGGTCTCACACAGCACAAATCAACAAAGAGGTTCTGAGTTCCTAAGCCCGGCCCTTAGTGTTACCGTGCGCTTCCCATGCAAGTGAAAAGTAACTAGCAAAATCATAACACGAAACCCCTGGATGATTGAACCACCACCACCAAACCCCAAGAAGGTCACGTCTAAGGCGGCTACCCGACGTCCCCACTCAGGAGGCAGCACATTTCCCTGATGCAAGGTGGCAAAGATCTGTTCCAGAACCGTAAGACACGTCCGCAACCCATGGCCTGGGGTCGCCACCCTGGGAGAAGCACTTCCCCGCACTCCTGACCTGTTCTGGCAGCGGGGACATAAGGGTGAGCGAGACAGAAAGGGTCCCGGCCCCTGCAGGGCACCCATCGCGGGGAAAGACGCAAACAATGCAGCACTACTGACCAGGCTCCGGGTTGTGGTCGGACCCGGGGACAAGGCACCGGGCAGGGGGCACAGGGGACGGAGGGAAGAGCAGAGAGGCAGAGGTGGCCTCTCTGAGATACAATTAGAGGCGAGGCCTGAAGCAGAAGCAGGAACCAGCACACGGAGAAGCTCAGAGGCAGAGCTGGGGGCGTCAGAGCAGCTCAGTGCCTGGAGCACAGGTGCACAAGGCCTGGGTCCAAGCGTCTTCTCTGGGCCACCCTGAAAGAGCCTCGGCTTATCTGGGGCCGTGGATCCGGACGGGTGACCAGGGAAGGGGCAGGGTCTGGTCTACCTTTTCAAGAGATTCGGACAGATGTCTGTGGTCTACTTTAAAAATAACACGAGAGAGGGCTGGGGGTGGGGGTAGCTAGGGTAAGACTGGCCGTGAGTTGATAATCACTGAAGCCCGCTGACGGGCGAATGAACCTACTTATGTAGGTTCAAACTTTCCCACCGTTAAAAATCGAAAGGCTGTAGCAGCACCTGGGCGGCTCAGTTGGTTGAGCGTCAGACTCCTGATTTCGGCTCAGGTCATGATCTCACGGTCCGTGAGTTCGAGCTCCACATCGGGCTCTGTGCCGACGGCACGGAGCCTGCTTGGGGTTCTCTCTCTCTCCCTCTGCCCCTCCCCGCTCATGCTGTCTCTCAAAACAAATCAATGAACCTTAAAAAAAAATTTAACAAGCTAGGGTGTCTGGCTTCAGCATGGAGAATGGGCAGTGGAAGAACACGGGAGGAGACATAAGTGCCAAGTCGGGGTTGGTGCACTTGTCCAAGGCGAGGTGCTGTGGCCTGGCCCGGGTAGGTGGCCGCGGGGAAGAAGGTAATTTCAGAAGCAAGGTCAAGGTCAAGAGGACTGTTTGACGGAGAGATGAGGGAAAGAGAAGATTCAAGACGAATCAGCCGTGGGCCCAACTGCTGAGCTGGGTATCGGAGGGCATGGGGGGCAGGAACACACAGCACGTTTGGGACGCTCTACTGGCTTGAACGTCGTCCCCCCACATCTCACATTCACCCGGAACCTCAGAATGGGACTCTGTTTGGAAGGTCTTCCCGCATGTGGTTAGTGAAGAAGAAGTCATCCTGGATCTAAGGTGGCCCCAAACCCAGGGACTGGTGTCCTTATAAGAAGGGCCAAGCCAGAGACACGGGAACACGCAGGGACGAGGGCCATGCGGCGACAGAGACAGTGACGCGGTCACAAGCCGAGGAACGTCGAGGGCTGCCAGTGACCCTACCAGAGCTGGGAGCGAGGCACGGAACGGATTCTCCCTCAGAGCCTCCGAGGGAAGCCAAGCCTGCCAATCCCTTGATTTCAGACTGCTGGCTTCCAGAACAGTGAGAGAGTATGTCTGTGTTGTTTTCAGCCACCGAGTTGCAGTCATTTGTTACAGCCGCCCCAGGAAAATGCTGCAGGTGGCGGGCGCCCCCTGCTCCTGGCGGAGATGGCCAGTAGGCACGCCGGTGTGGAGCTCGGGGGGAGACCGGAGGCATCACGGGCTCACAGAGGACACAGACTGACACGGACTGGAAGGTCTCAGGGGCAGCGCAGACCGAGGGGCGAACGGGCCCTTGGACAGGCCAACATTTAGATCAGGAAGGAGGCTAAGAGGCTGGAACTGGGGAGTGAGGCCAGGAGGGGGACAAGCAGAGAGAGGGGGTGACAGCTGGAGGGAGACCAGGAGTTCGCAGGAATGTTCTGGGTTTTATTTTTGACTCTTAAGATGGGTGGGGATGAGTGGAACGTTGGGACCATTTGTGTTATGGTCGTCACGAATAAGATCATAACAAAAGCAGCAGCAAGGCGACTCCAGTGCCCCTTTGACTGTTGCTGTCTATTACTGTCCCTCCCTGTGTCCCCCACTTGGAGCTGTAGTATCAGCTGAAGGGGGGGTGGCCAGGAGTCACACAGTGAGAGAGAGACACACACACAGACGTGCAGCCTGAGCACGAGTCAAGCAAGAGAAGAGGGAAGTCCCTGAGCAGAGAAGAAAAGGGGTTGGCTTGGCTCCTGAGGCTATTTCTTGCTTTGCGTCCTTGAACTGCTGGTGACACTTCCCTGTAGCCTTCGAAGTGAGCAGGGGTCTCTGTCCCTTGCGACCACGGGCGCTTTTGCCAGAAGCCCACCCCAACTCCTGCAAGAGGGCAGCCGCCCAGCAGGAAAGCCAGCCAGACGCAACCACGCGACCGGTACCCTTGGCTAAGAGGGAGACGTACAACAGATCGTCCTAACGCCAGGCTGGGGCTCCTACATCGGGGCTGCACCCCAACATCCATCCTTTAAAAAGGCTCAGGCAACAAAATCTGCTCCCAGAGGGGCAGCTGGCAGTGACCCTATACAGATCACACATGTCCCTCCCGATGAGCAAACTGAGGCCCAGGAAGGGAAGAGGCTGTCCAAGGTCAGTTAGGGCCCGGCCAGCGTGGGGAGGACTGAATCACTGTCCCCTGCCCCATCCGACAGCTCCAGGAGTCCTCGTCCCTTGTCGCCTCCCAGGAAGCAGGGAGGACCAAAGCAGCGAGCCATTCCTGCCCGCCCAACTGTGGCCTCGTGAGCCCCGAGGTCTCCGCACAGTGTGGTGAGGAGAGCTGGGGCGGCGGGGGACGTTTACTGACTGATGGGAGCATCCCCTGTCCCTCAGCTCAGGAGGGTGTGGAATGGAGGGCGGAAGGTTCACCTTTGCCCAGACCACCCGTCCAGCAGTTGTAACTGAGGTGCCATCACTGGTCATCCTTATGGGCTGAGCTCAGGAACCAGGAGTCCTGGGTCCTGGTCCCAGGGGCTGCTGCCTTGCCCCGTGCCTGGGTGACAACCTTTGGCTTTCTGAGGCTGTCTGGCCATCTACAAGTTCTGTGACTCAACAGCAAGCTACCCCCAGCCAAAGTTTCACCTGGAATCCAAGAACCCAAGGGATACCTTTTAGGACTATTGTCCAACAAAGAAGGGACAGGGGAGTCCAGCCACTATGTCCTCAGGCCTCATCCTGGGGATACTCAGTTCATCCCGCCCAGGTGCAAAACAAAAGGAACCACGGCCCCTCTGGGGCTCCTGGAGCTGAGCCACCCCGCCTCTGACACCCAAGTCTCTTGTGACCTGCCCCCTCCCCATTCTCCCAGAGGACCCTCCTGGGTTTCTCTCCCCACATGCCCCCAGCCCCCTCCCAAGGGGCCAGAGTTGCTGCCTGGACCTCAGGACCATCTGCCCTGCGAGGGCTGGGCCGGGGTTGCGGAGAGAGGCAGGGAGGGGCGGTCCTCTGGCCATTACCTCCAGGTCTCCCTTGGTGATGGATTCCTCCTCCACTCGGAACTGCAGATCCTCCACCTTCCTGCAGGGGGAGACGGGGCTGAGCGCGCGTCGCCCAGAGCGGTGGGCTTCGCCCAGTGACGGCAGAGATGGGCGAGGCCACCAGGTGCTCAGACCCCGCAGAAGGCACTGTCCCAGGGTCATGGCTGATGGGGGCAGAGCCTCCTGGAAAGCTCCGGGCCTCCCAAATTCCCACCGTGTGCTCTACTCAGAGGCCGCTGGCCTCTCTAAAATGGGGGTGTGGAAGCCAACGTCCTTCCTCCCTAGGGTGGCGGTGGGACCGGGCGGCAGAACAGGCTGTAAATGGAAGCACAGTGGCGCTGGGAACCTCACTGCCTACCGAACAGACCAGTCTGCAGGGACAGAGGGAAGCGGGGGGGGGGGGGGGGGGGGGGGGGGGGGGGGGGTTCTTCCCCTGCCAACCTCATTCTCATCCCCTCCCCTCAAAATCGGCCAGGGCTGCTCCGTGATGAGGGCCCCCACTGCCCCGCTGTGGGCATTGGCAGGGACCCTCCGGGAGACACATTCACCCACCCACACGCCAAGACAGCACAGGGGAGACACAGACACGGTAACAGCTCACAAAGCTGCTCTTCCCGGGGCCTCCTGACAGCTCCCGGCATATGGGTGAGGAAATGGGGCCCAGAAAGGGCAAGAGACCTGCCCAAGGTCACCCAGCAGGTATAGGGCCCTGAACACAACCCCCGGGGCATCTTCAAGTTTTTATTTGTCAGCATCAGGCGTGTCGCCATGGCAACCAGATGTGTGGGCCCCGAGAACAGTCTCAGGCAGATATAAATAAACTCTTCTCTCTCCAAGTCAGACCGTAACAACAGCCTGTGGCTCACAGGCCTCGGCTGAAAGCCCAAACCCAGACCCAAGGCGAGGGCTGAGGGTGGGGGCTGCCTGAGGCGTGGGGGAGCGGAGGGAGCCACAGAAATCTGAATATCAGCCAGGAGACAGAAGCCCCGGGCCGGGAGAAGCCCTGTCCCCTGTCAGCTCTGTCCCATCGGGTGACCCAGGATCAAGTCAGGCCAGAGGCCCTACACCGAGGGAACCACAGTCCCGGCTCGTCACTGAGGCAGGAGGGAAAGAACCGCATCATCACCAGCAGGCCGGTGGCCTCAGGCGAATCCCTCGCCTGCTCTGAGCCTCAGTGTTTTCATCTGTGACACGGGGGCGATACCTGCCTCCTGGGCTCGTGGTAGGATTGAGAGAGACCTGGGACCAGGGAAAGCACTCAGCAGGGGGCTGACACCTCGAAACATGGTGCTTCTCTGAGCCTCAGTCTCCAGACGCAGACGAGCTGGGAGCCGAACACACAGCACACAGCCCAGAGGGGTGCTCCGTAATGTGAACTGGTCTGGGGCATGGGAGAACCCCTAGTTCAGCGAACCCCCCGCCCCCCCGCAGTCTGGATGGAGAGCAGCGGACAGACGTGGTGACTCCCAGGCGGGGCATTTCCCTCCAGCCTGCAGAGATGGGGATCATCACCCCACTTTGCAGATGAGGGGCAGGCCCGCGGGGCTCACGCCACTGGTTGGGGTGACACAGCCAGGGTGTGGCGGAGGTCCTGAGCCCGGGCTCCGCCTGGCCATCACTAACAAGGCCAAGAGAAGTGCCCCCCGGGACCAGGGCAGGGGTGGCACACACCTTCTCTCCTCCTCCAGCTGGTTGGACAGGTCTGCCTTCTCCTTCCGCACACTCTCCACGAGCAGCCGGGCCCGCTGCAGCTTCTCCTCTGCTTCTGCAACATACTGGGCCCCGAGCAAGGGCCGGGACGGGGTCAGCCTCCTCCCGGAACCAGGCTCCAGGTGGCAGAGGCCACTCCCGCCACCACCACGCCCCTGCCAGCTGGCCAGGCACAGACCGTGGGCCAAGCTGCGAGGGAGGAGGGCCCGGCTGAGTGCCGGGCATGGCAGAGGTCAGCTTCTGGCCCACCAGTCCCCAATCCCCTCCATGTCCCTCAACCCCTAAGGGTCTAAGACTCTGCTGTCTGCTAAAGGCCTCTGTGAGAGCCTGGCCTTAATGATTCCAGCACTTGAGGGTGGGGTGAGCCAGGCTCCAAACGGGGACGGGGACCCAGGAAGGATCTCTCACGCAGGAGACAAACATCTACATCAGGGAAGAGGAAACACTGGACAGCAGGAGACTCAAGGTTACGGGCAAGGGCTCGCCTCCCTGAAATCCAGCACGTGGAGCTACTTGAGGGCACGATCTGGAACATGGATGGTTGTAAACAAAAAACGTGTAGACGAGTATATTCAGACAAAGTAATTAATTGGAAATAACCTGAACAACTACAGGGGACGGGCTGCGTCGGTAAGGACACGGCCCATGATGGATGGCAACACAGCCGTTCAAACGGGGAAGAATTTTCCGTGACCCAGAAAACTCTCCCGCTATAGCAAGTCAGAAAGAGCACGATACACCCAGGTTCCGGATCCATCAGGAGGAGGAGGAGTCTTCGTATCCTCTGCACACCCCTGGTTGTCTCTGCATGAGGGTGACTCACAGAACTGGCCCGGGGAGGCTGCTGGCGCCCTCTGGGTGCCCCCACCGCCCCACCAGCCCAGCTACCTGCTCATGCTGGGCCTTGAGCAGGGCGATCTCCTTCTCCACTTCACAGATGTGGCTCGTGGCCTTGGCCACCTCGGCCCGCTCCAGGTCTCGCTCAGCCAGCAGCTGCTCGATGTGCTGCTGCTTCTCCTTCAGCGCCTCTTGCAAGGCAGTTGTGCCCGATATCTTGCGGGCATAACGCGAAGAGGTCTCCGTGAGCTGCAGGAAGGCGTGGGTGCAGGCAGGACTCAGGGATCTGGAGTACCATCCAGATGACAGCTGGAGCCCCTCAACTCCCAGGGTCCTGCTCCTCCCCGCCAGTGCCCTAGACAATCTACGCAGGGGGGAATTGTGATGTTTGAGATCCAAGGAACGCTCCCCAAATCTCAGGAGAGTCACGGCCTCTGACGGTCACGGCTCCTGGGCTCTGCCTCACGGTGGCCTCCCTCACCTGGACTGCATGCTCTGGAGACATCCTAGACCCCCAACCTAGACTGGGCTTGCACAGAAGACCCTCTGTCCAGTAGGGCAGCCTCACCTTCTCCCCTCACCCAGGGTGACTGTGGCAACCTTTCAACTCCCTGCTCTGCACCTGTATTACCTACCCTCTACCCATATCACTTGTCCTATATCCGTATGACCCTCCTTAACTCCCAGGAAAGGGGTTAGGCTACTGATAAATCAGTAACACAAAAATAACAATAAACGTAAATGGATCAATCTTCTCTATTAAAAGACATGGACTTTCATCTTTTTTTTTCTTTTTCTATGCCCAATGTAGGGCTTGAACTCATGACCCTAAGATCAAGGGTTACATACACTACTGAGACAGTCAGACACCCCTAAGCTTTCATCTTTGTTCAAAAACCCCACAGAGGGATGGGGCGCCTGGGTGGCTCGGTCGGTTAAGTGTCTAACTCTTGATTTTGGCTCAGGTCATGATCTCACGGTTTGTGAGTTCGAGCCCTGCATCGGGCTCTGTGTTGACAGCTTGGAGCCAGCTTAGGATTTTCTGTTTCAATCTCTCTTCCCCTCCCCCACTTGTGTTCCTGCTCTCTCTCTCTCAAAAATAAATAAACATAAAACAAAAAACAAAAAGCAAAAAACCAAACTCACAGAGGAATACTTGGAACCAGAGCAGGAGCAAGTCAGGGGTCACAGGCTCACCTGGCTCCTTCTGTCCCAACGCCCCCCCCCCCCCCC